TATTTCTTCGTGATTGTCGCCATCCAATGTGTAAGTCTAAATCCGAAACCGTAATGGATTTCACGCTCGATGATTTTAATTTAAATCTAATTTCTGAAAACGAGCGCAACGGAGAGCGATATAACGTATTGATATGCCATAATAATAACCAAATAATATTGTTATTGGTCTAACATTACAAAAAGAACAATTTAAAATATTAAAGATATTGTTGAAAACTTTCTGAAAACCTCCCGTCCTCTGAACCGATTAAAATTTTGGTACACGACTGTAGTGTAATATATACACATGCACAAAAGTTATGCGCCACCATATTCATAATCTCTTGATTACACGTGTGGGAATCAGAAATACGAAATATGATGATGTATGACTGAATTAGGCTTCCGTAGTTTCATGAACCCAAATTTGTCCAGATACCACAAGGAAAGCGTGCTTTACGTGTTGCTGCTGTTCCCCTTCCCTATAAATAGTGAAATTCAAGTTTCAAGACACGTGGTTGCATTTTGCTCCTGTGTGAGATTCCCCTTCCAATAGAGGTTGAAAATCAGCCATGGTGAGGAGAAAGTTAACGAACGCTGAAAGATGGCAAGTGATAGGCATGAAAAATGCTGGCATGTCATGCAGGGCCATTGCAAGACAAATGGGTTGTCATCACAGTGTTATCACTCGTTTGATTGTCAAACATGGTCAAACCAATGATGTCAATGACAGGCATAGATCTGGTAGGCCAAGAAAGACCTCTTACAGAGAGGATAGACGTCTTTTCAGGATAGTCAGGCGAAATTCATTTGCCAGATTATCAACAGATTTAAGACTGCAGTGGATTATCCATCAGAGACTCTCGACGATGACCGTAAGGCGTCGCGTCAGAGCGGCTGGTTATAACGCCAGAAGACCAGTAAAACGTCGTCAACTGACTGAGAGGCACATGCGGAATCGTCTGATATGGTGTCGTGCCCGTAGTCGATGGAACTTGGCCAACTGGAGAAGGATCCATTGGTCTGACGAGTGTCGAATGCTGCAACGAACTGTTGATGGTCGAATACGTGTTTGGAGGCAACGTAACACTCGTTTTGCACCAAGGAACATCCAGAAGACCTTAGCATGTGGCGGGGGGTCTGTCATGATATGGGGTTGTGTTTCCTTCGGCTGCAAACTTCCGCTGGTGACAGTTCGTGAAAACCTGAATGGCCAACAATACCAAGATGCCGTTCTTCGTCCAGTGGTAGTCCCTCCTTTTGACAACCATCCTCTTCAGACAAGACCTGTTTACATGGACGACAATGCTAGACCACACAGATCTCGGGCAGTTTTGGCTTATTTGCGTCAAGAAGCTATTGCCACTCTTCCTTGGCCGACCTGTAGTCCGGATCTTAATCCGATTGAGCATCTCTGGGACATTCTTGGCCGGAAAATCAGACATCGTGATCCCCCAGTTCAAAATCTCGCTGGACTAGAAACCGCACTTCATGAAGAATGGATCTGTTTGCCTCAGAGAAGCATTCAACGACTTGTAATGAGTATGAAGCTGTGGTCAATGTCCGTGGATCATACACAAGTAACTGACGTTTCTGTCTTGCAATAGACTCTGCACTCCCTAGGGTGTCTATGTGACACCTGATATGGTCTGTTGATATCATGACAGTTACACGACAAAAGTTTTTCAATGTTTTCTAATCCTTCAATTTCTGGTCTTCGGTAAAATTCCATTCTGCTCATATTCTTTTGGAACACAAGATAACTTGCTTTGGGACAACTTTTGCATGACATGAGGTTTATATATACGGCTTATAACAGTCGTACATCTCGTTATAATAGTCATCATTGAGTGCCAAAAGTAACAGTTCACAAATATGGTGGGTGGCGCTTAACTTTTGTGCATGTGTATATATAGATTCTAGGCTCCTATATGTGATTTAGTACCCAAAACAAATTAAATTGTACCCAAAATACTTTGTGAATTTGTACCTAAGAAAATAAGACAATAGATTTATAATTATATTTATGTTTTCATGTAGATGAAAAGAACACATAATAAAATATTTCATCAAGTTCATAATATGATTATGATTGTGATCCTTGAAACTGATTGTTTAGTTTTGATAGAAAATTGACGTCTTGTCACTGAAGAAGAGGCCAGTTACGTTGGTTAAACCTAAGTTAGAATGTATTGTCTTGATAGTATGTTAAGTTTAAGACACCAAAATTAATGTATATCTTTGAAATAATTCTAGGTAGATCTACAAAATCACATACCCATTTGGGTACCAAATCACTAGAAATTTCGGTACAAAAGTCACCACTGTACATTTCAACTGGTTTTAGTGAATCAATGGGATACAAAAAAATCGTCTTAATGATTCCTTTTCTCATCTCAAGACAAGAATTTGTTTTACATAACAAAACAGGCAGATCTACAGGGATCACGGTTGTCCTAAAAAAATATATAAATGTGAAAAATATTGACACCTCAGAAATGAGGGCTTATAAAGTTATGATTCTACCTAACTTGTCACATGGTTTGACTTAGGTCTATCTAAGAAAAGTCCTTATGAAAATCTTTTTTTTAATTTTTTTTTATGACACTGACATTTCTGGCACTTAGACAAAGAGTATTCAAGGAAAGACAGATATGTTTTTGAATGAAAATATGACTTTCCTTTATAATTCTTTTTTCATGATGACAGGTGAACTTTTATACACACCAGCTGAGGAAGTTGTGATACTGTGATTGCATGCAAAGGAAAAACAGGTTGGAAGCAGTACCTGTATGTATAAAATAGACCACATAAGGTGAACAAAAGTAATGGATTGGCTGACTGGAAAAAATACATCTGGCAAGGGTAAACATGTACACAGGCACGTTTCTTTTCATTCCAACCAGAAAACTGAGATAGCCATATGTTTCTAAGAAAATACTAACTTACCAGCTTATGTGCCACCATGGTTCTTGTGATTAAACAAACAAAAATGTCATGTACTGTTACAAGTACTGTTACTGTAATAAATGTATCATATTCCTATTAAATTATATTTCAGAATTGTTTTATTTGGAAACAAACCACAATGCACAAGATTAATGTCCATATGAGTTTAGTATGTATATGTTAAGGATCTGATTTATTCATTATTCGTGGTATACTAAAATTAAAATGATGACATCAGAGACTTACTTATTCACATAGATGATTTTCATAGTGAAAGATAATAATTGCTGAAAAAATATGTTTAAACTAAAGATAATAATTGAAGTTTGATCAGTTACACTGTGCTAATGCAAAGACCAATATTTACTGTCATTGTGGAAAAAATTAACTACCAAATATACCTTAAAAATATATAACCTGTAAACAGCTGTAAATAATTAAACAATTACAAATCTATCATCAATACGCAATCATGGTGGTCTTCATAGTTTTGGAATAAATTTAGAAATCCTTCGTGAAACTGTTCTAAAATCATGCTAGAATCTATGAATGTATTCCCGTAAGGAAAACTGTCCGAAATGTAATGTGGAACTAACACCGAAAATATGTACGTAGCATTTTATTGCTTATATATACCCTATCATATTCAGCAACGCGGGGATGTTGTTTTGAAACACGTTTTGTCAAGCCCATTTTCGCGCACCTGTTGTAGAGGGTGATATCCATAGACGTATTACGTAGGATACACTTGTTGTAGTGAAACGTATCAGCGTGTACATCGCAGAAATATGAATCATGTCCCATTTATATTCACCGTAACACTGAATGGTGATTCTTAAATATCAACAGAATTTCAAATAAAAGATACCGAGAAACTTGCATGTGGCATGTTGATTTATCGTCTATCGTTTCCGGGTCACGGGAGCATGCAAGATCAACCGGATTAACTTATACGCGAATTATATCGTTAAAGTCACATTTTTATTTCATGTTAGTGGTGATTACTGATACTGTGTATCGACTTAAGTTTTTGCTGTATGTGATAGGCGAACTATTTCAAAATTTACTGTAATTGTTTTGTTACGAAAGATTATCAGCAGACTACCCCTGTCTGTGACATCACATCCGGTGACCTTTGCACTTATTGAAATATTGCTGTCAGAATTCACGATCTTTATTTTCGTTTTTCTCTCGTCAAATTATTCGCAATATGACGAATAAAACATTCTCCGATTGAGAAGATCGCCAAATTATATTTATAAAGGCAATGTAAACTTTGTTGATATTAAAATAGCAATAAGTTATGCGGAGGTCGGGCGAAGCATCATGACACGGGTTGTTTATTTTTGTATATCGTAAATATTCAACCAAAATGCTTGAAATTGAAACATGACACGTCAGATTAACCCAAATATTCGTATTTCTGCAACCGACACGATGACCTCGAAAATTAAGTTATTTTTCTGTTTAACGTTTAGATAATAAATTTACTGAAATGGTTCATAATTTACCATCGCGCTGTTATTTGCCGATGAAATAACCCGAATTTTTACTCAATTAAAATTAAGATATCGGAGATATGATTATTGAAATTAATTTGCACAAATGTTACGATATAAACAGGTTCCTAGTATGAAATGCAAACCACCTTCAATAACGCAATTCAGGGAAGTTCAAGAAAATTGACAAATGTTCTGTTCGCTTTGGTCTTAACCTTGGTATGATTAAAAACATCGGGGGATTTTTATATAGTACTGTGTAGTTGTCTATCAGGAATATATGTGCAAAATATTTCTTCAATTGGCCCTTGTTTAATGAGGCACCGACTGTTTGAAATCACCCACCCTCTTTAGAGCGCCTTATGCTAAAATTAATCAAGCAGGATGTGTGAAAATAATTCAGCAGGCTAAAGGTTAAAATAAGAAAGAAAGTGTTTTTGCGTGTACACTTCCCCTTTAAGATATGAAGATCAAGAAACTGGATGCCAACATGGCACCCTTGAGGATTTTAATTAAAATATGTTTACCCTTGGAATCTCAATCGCCAGTAGAGGACCGTATGGAAGCAAAATAAGTTGTTCGGTAAGTAGCACAAAATGGAGTACTTCCTGTACAGACTCAAGCTCCTTCCTTCCCAGGGCGTGACACCTTCGTTACACTCTCGGTAACATAGTATAGAGAGCTCCGCGAACGGGCTATCACTGTGATAAGCTTGGTACAGACTGTTTACATTAGTTACTCATTTTCTACCTCATTTGCACAAATAATATGGCACAATGGTAAGACATTTTTGTTGTCCAACTGATTTATGACATAGACATTGCAGTTGTGCAGAGTATTTGAATTAGAGATAATTTGGAAAAATAATTCAGATCCAAATGTCAACTAGTGAAGTGTCGTCTGCTAGGCTAAGCATACCAATGCTATCAAAAGCCTTAAACTTCATTTGTTGTTGAAAATTATAACAACTATCTATATCTGCATCAATATATTCATGTTTGCAAACAATATGCAAAATATCACCATTCACATGAATTGAAAGTTTGATGAAAACTGTATATACTACTTTCCAAACCACTTATCATACTGCCATAGGGTCTCTATTGACTATGCAAATAAGGAAGAGATTTTATTTTTGTCTCTAAATTGATTACTAAAATAGATTGAAAGGATTTGATTTGAAGATTCTATTTTCATCTGAACTATTATGTTTGATATCAACCTTCAAAGGACAAGATTTATTTGGCAATATGAGCCCTAAAATGATTCAAATGAAATGTTACATAATTTTTAGCAAACACATTATTGGTTATTGGTACAGTCTGCACTGTAAATATGTTAAATAATTGATGTTTGTCTATGTCAGTGGTTAATATTTCATAATTCAATTTCATATTTATTTGAGTTTTAAACTTTTGAAACATTATAGTTAATATTGTGCTATTCCACTTCCCTTCAATATATTATTAGTATTTTTGCATATTTAAAGAGAAATAATTAATCCTTTCTTTCTTCATTTTCAGTCAGGGGTTGAATGTTTATTCAAGCTGGTTGGCTGTTGTAATAACCCAAATTAGAAGCTGACAACTGTCTAATGGTCAACATATCATATCTATATTTTTTAGGCTAGCAAGACCAGACAGGATGACCTACAATTAGTAATTGAAAAAAATATATCTTCTCCTGATGTTAATGAATTATTTTACCACAAAAACTGTGTTTCTACTTAAACATCAAAGACTCACCTTAAAAGACTTTCAAAATCTTGTTCAGATAAATGCCTGCCAGAACCATTCAAAAAGAGAAGGCGTCGTTCAGTTTTAGGCACTGGCTTTAACTTTCTAAAACATTGCTTATTCTGTGGGAACCCATGTGAAATTGAAAAAGACTCTAGAAATCCTGGACGGTGGAAGAGATCTGATGGCCAAAGATCATTCAAGAATATAATTCTTGGGACATGCAATATACGCCAGGAGTGAGTGAGTGAGTGAGTTTGATTTTACGCCGCTTTTAGCAATATTCCAGCAATATCACGGCGGGGGGACACCAGAAATGGGCTTCACACATTGTACTCATGTCGGGAATCGAACCCGGGTCTTCGGCGTGACGAGCGAACGCTTTAACCACTAGGCTACCCGACCGCCCTATACGCCAGGATAAGTGGGGAGATGAAGTATGACTTAGAGTAGATGGTGCCACAATTGATCTTCATGCTGCAGATGCAAGATATCATGACAAATGCAGAACAAATTTTATGGCCCCTAAATCTGTACAATGAGCTTCTTCAAAACGGAAGGCACCGAATCAATTTCAGACGAATCACTCTATTATGTGATCAGATCAATGAATGCTGATCGGAAACAAATTAGAAATTCCACAGAAGTATACAATCAGTACCTAGAGAGTGGAGGGGTCATGCTTTCAAAAAGACAGTTTATTGAAGAAATATGAAGGTGCTTTGCTGATGAACTGATTATTCTAAGAGGAAATGGAATAGCTAGTATTCTTATTTTCCGTGAAACTGCCACAGACACCCATAAGTTGGTTCTTGATGAAACTGGAGATGATGATTTGACTTCTTCCATGAAGAAACTTTCAAAACAAGTAAGAAAGGAAACTAAAGAAATACCACTCTCCAAAGAAGAATACCAGACAAGAATAGACTGCCAAATTGCTGGGGAGAGTTGTAGTACTCTTGAGTAACATTCTTCAAGGTGAAGATCCTGTGCTACCAGTCCTGATGATTCGTAACATGATGACTGGACTTCTAAGAAAGCAACCAACACCACCACTACAGACAACTCTTGGAGTTTTCATCAAAGCAAATGATCCCATTCAAGAACTGAACAAGTTTGGCATTGTGTGTACTTACGGTGAAGTTCTTCGATTTAAGAAGTCAGCCGCACTTGCAACCGATGATGTTGCATCTAGAGGCCTGAACTCTTCATCACAAACAGAAACTCCCCTTGTACAAGTTGTAGTTTACAACTTTGATGCCAATATTTCCAGTCAAAATGGACTCCAATCAACACATGCTCTTGCTATGCTTCTAACTCAGACACTTGATGGCAAACACTGATGACAAAGGTACATTTCGTCGGATAAAGAAAGAGGAAATGACAGAAAGTAGAAGATGACATCATACAACAACGGTACACGGGTAAAAAAAAGCCACACATGCCCAAGGACTCCACCATAAAGAGAGTGTTACCACTGAAAATTTTAGCCATGCAGGTAGTCTCAGCATCACGTGCAACTGTTAGGGATGTTCACTTCATGTTCACTTCTTGTCTGAGACCCGTGAAAATTCCGGGGTAGAATAGGTCCCATACTTGCCGTAAAAGGTGACTATGCTTGTCGTAAAAGGCAACTAACGGGATCGGGTGGTCAGGCTCGCTGACTTGGTTGATACATGTCATCGATCCCAATTGCGTGGATCGATGCTCATGATATTAATCACTGGATTGTCTTGTCCAGACTCGATTATTTACAGACCGCCGTCATATAGCTGGAATATTGCTGAGTGCGGGGTCAAACAACAAACCAACCAACTTCTTGTCTGAAGTTGTTCAAGACACATCCTGTCCAGAATGGAATGAATACAATAGTGCCCTAAACAGAAAAGAAGGTTAGACAGTGAAATCAAAAACAACATCAGTTTACACGCCTTTGATAGACATGAAACTGGCTGACCCTGACACCATTTTAACTGCTATGAAGACAGATATTCATTGTAATATTCATATAATCTTTTTTTCAAATATCTTACCTGTAATCTTGTTTATTTTTGACAAACATTTCCGTATTCCTAGGTATTTCCACTGAAACTGACACTTGCGGCATGGCTGCCCTCTTCAACAGAAGTGACCCAGAAGGCTACGTCACACAAGTTCGATCATTTGATTGGTTGGCTTGTCGCATAACCGGGATGACATGTATGGACGATCTCTTGTGTCAAAATCTGAATTAGAACAGTCCACAGTTGTTTTAAGATATCTTTGTCCATCAAACGTTCATTTTATGTTTTAATATTGAAAAAACAACAACGAAAAGTCACAAATATCCAGCTTATTTACAAGGTTGATGCAGGGAGTTTTTCTTCAGGTTCATCATGACGGGCACCAAAACTCAGAATGTCGACGCACAACAAACTGGCGTGCAGAAACGTATATGTGTCCAGTGCTGACATGTAGGGTGGGTACATTGTGCCCAGGTTGTAATGATCAGTGAGATATGAGCTCGAACCTCATCGGGTACAGATTGGTTACATTTGCAGCAGAGTTCGTCATCTTTTGTCACATCACTATCGTACAAATCAAAACTATCGTCTTGATGCACAGTGACAGTAGTTTTTTTAAAGATTTACTTGGTTTAGGTGCTTGCTTTCTTTTTATGGGTGCCGATTTCACAGTCTGGTGGGAAATAATTTTATTCAGAATGACGTCTTCGGTGATGGCCTTGCCCCCGACAACATCGCTCAAAACGTTTCTCTTTTTAGTAGGCACATTTTCTTGAAAAGTACAGTCGTCTTTAAAGAATCCTGCTACATCACTGCCCTCAGTAGGTGACATCCTTGTCTCCATCTGGCACATTTGAATCAATAACCCCAGTATCAGGTGAAGCAAACGTTCAGTCGACTAAAAAACTGTTGAAGGCGCAAAGTTGATATTGGCGGTGGTAGACTTGCCAAATGGGGAGACTCCACATTTCCTGAAAGAGGACTGCAGATTGGTTGGTGTCAGCGACAGGTTATAAGCTCTACAGCCAAGTTCACTAACAGAATGTTTATCTACTGAACTTGTAGCATTTTCCCGCATATATGTATGACGGAGGTTGCTGTAAATTTTAGCAAAAGGTCCAAAGCAACCAACATCCATTGGCTGTAAAACATGGGACGTGTGTGCAGGCAGTACAAACAAAATAATGTGGTGCTGACACGCCCATTCGATCAGTGGAATAGATACGTGGGATCTATGACCATCGTACACAATAAGAAGTGGACTATCTGTAGACGCGGCGACAGCATGCTTCAGGAAATGCTCTGTCAGCTGAAAAATCTCCGTGTTTGACCAACCAGTCGCTAACAGTGCCTGCTGCGCCGGCTGTGAAAGTTAACTTGAACTTGATACTTGAACAAATATTCGCCGCCGCCCGCGCCTTTTGACTTCTTTCCAACATATATTGCTAGGTCTGTGGCAATAGTAGTAACTTCAGCCCTAGTATAGCCATACCCAAAATTTGCCATGGTGTCAATATGTGAAACAAGTCCCTGTTCTTGGTGATCAGACACGTGAATAACATTTTTTTAACATATGTGACCCATGTAATGCGACCAGCATCATCTAGAGACTTCAACATTATATAACATTGGGTATCTGGTACTAGGTAAATATAATAAATGTAACCAAAATTTAGTACACCTTTTATAGTAATTAACATACAATACATATCTACCACAATCTCCTAATACTGCTGCACTTGTTACATGATTTCCAACACCCAAAACAAACTTACAAAATTTCCCATGAAATTTTTCAACTGCTAGCATTTTGTTAAAACCCCACACTTCTGAAGAGTACAACAATATGGGCTATATTTGCATATCAAAAATCTTAAATAAGGCTGAGATAGGAATATTCTTAAAACGAATTCTTGTTTGCTTCAATGCAAAGAGAGCTTTATTAGCCTTATTCACCAGGGTATTGACGCCCAAAGTCCCAACACAAACGGTTTGAAAATATTAAACCCAGGTAGCTGTAATAAGTAGAAACTTTAATATTAATGTTTCCAAATTTCCAATTCTCTGTTTTTCTACGTTTGCCACCATTCCTGAAAACTAAAATTTGAGTTTTATCCAATCCCCATTTCAAGCAAAGTGTTTGAAGTATATCAATCTTTCTCTGTAGACAAATAACGCTGTCATCAAATAAACATAAGTCATCTGCATATCATAACAACAAAATATCAACAAAGTCCTGTCCAACAAAAATACCTCTCTGCCCTGAAGATTGCACTTAAGTTCTACCTTAACAATAAATAAAGAAAACAACAAAGGACTCAATGGACATCCCAGTCTGACACCACTTAAAGTATCAAAGAAACATGTAATTTCATAATTAGATAACTTAACGGCTGATGTAACTTTGGAGTACATATCTTTTATTACCCCAAGAACTCTACCATGAATACCTTTTCTTAACAAAATATACCACAACAGTTTACGATTAACACAATCAAAGGCTTTTTTTAAATCAACAAATAAACAATAAAATCGTCCATTTGTCTTAGATAAGTACTTTTGAATCAAACTCTGCAAAACAAAAATATTATCAATTGTGCTATATCCAGTCCGGGAGCCAGCTTGAGATTCTGGAAGCTTTTTCAAATATATCACAAAACAAAGTTAGTCTTTTGTTCAAAATAAATGTAAAAACTTTACCAAACACATCACTAAGGGTTATACCCCTATAATTATTAACGTCAGCTTTGCTCCCTTTCTTATGAAGTGGTTTCAGAAGACCTCGAGCCCAATCCAGTCCAATATTGTCCACTTAGCAATATAGTGTTATACAACACAACTAAATATGGAATAAGAATAGCTTTACAACATTTAATCATTTCTGGAAGAACTTCGTCAGGACCTGCTGCTTTCCCATCTTTCAAATCATTTATAGCATTCAAAACCTCTTCATATGTAATATAACTATTCAAAATATCGCAGCCATCACAAGAGGTGCAAACGGCATCAAAATTTTCTGAAATAAACATTTCAGCATTATTTAGATATCAATATCAACATCAAAATCAGTAATGTTCAATATATTTTGAAAATATTTCAACCACTCATATGTAGATATGGATGATGTAGAATTATCCCTTTGACACATGAGATTCTTAATATTACTCCAAAATACCTTAGAGTTAGATAAATTCGACAAAAGATGAATAACAGTACTGTCTTCATAATCACTTTTCTTTTGTCGACATAAATATCTATACATATTTCTCAAACGTCTAAATTCATGAAGATAAGTAAAGTCACCGGTGATCCTAAACATATTTAGGGTATCATATTATTCACGATTCAGTTCTTTACAGTCACTATCATGCCACACAGCATCCACACTTTGTCGTGATGACGATTCATGTTGCGTCATACCACAAACATCAGAAGCTTTGGTAATACACGATGTTAACTGCCTCACAGCCGCATCGATATCTCTGTTTATTGCATCTGTAAATGTGTCCACAATGTATGATAAGAATAGTTCAGAAATTGCTTTATCAAAAGTAGAAGCTTTATCTGCGGTCCATTTATATTAAGCTATCTTATTAGATCTCATAATGTCATTGGGAACGTAACTATCATTTCCATTCTTTAAAAACGTACTTGTAATCAGAAAATGATCACACCTAGTCAATACACAAAAATCATAAGTCAAATCAAACAAGTTACTTGAACATAAGCAATAATTAACTATACTGGCTCCCGAACCAGCAATACAAGTAAAGTCACCACCCGGGTCTGACTGTGACCTACCGTTCATCATGTGAATACCTAGCGAACAATACAAGTCCATTAGGTCAAATCCATATGAATTGATCATATCATCTGTAGATTGACGGGTCATGCTAAATTCATCCGATGTAAAGTTCATATTTTCTAAAGAAGGAATATATTCATTTCCATCTGCAATGATATAGTCTCTCAAGTTACCAGTTCTGGCATTTAAATCGGCCATAAGTATAAAGGAAATATCACTTGTTTGAATATCTGTCAAACATGAGAGTAAACAACTCTCTAAATAGTCGATACCTTTCTGTTCCCTTGTATCAGTTTGGACGCATGAGTTTATTGGATGGATATACACGCATCCATACAAAATGTCATTATAACTACCTAGTAAAGCTTTATCAAACAGTATAAAAACACAATCTATATATTCTAGCCAAATGTGTTTGATGTATCCCCAGATCTTGTCAGAAACACCAGCTGCTACTTCTCCCCTGGTGTTAAAGTCGCGTTGATTTATATAAACAGTATATTCGGAAAATGCACTACAAATGTCGTTTAAAGTTACATTCCTCCAGATTTCAACACAACCGAAAATGTCAAATCTAGCACAGAAAGTTATAAAATCCTGATCGAGTAATTTCTATTTTAATCGACCGCCTCCGTGGTCTTGTGGTAGAGCGTCCGCCCGGAGAGCGGAAGGTCCAGGGTTCGCTCCCGGGCCGCGTCATACAAAAAGACGTTAAAAGATTGTACTTGTTGTTACCCTGTCTGGCGCTCGGCATTAAGGGGCTAAAACAAGGACTGGTCGGCTCGGAGTCAGTATACTGTGTCTGAGTGGGGTATTCATGTTAAACTGCGGCATGGTATCTCAGTGAGCTAGCACTATAAATCGGCATCAGTCCGGACTAGTACAAGCAGCCACACACACACATACACGTGCATGCACGTCGCTATGTAAGTGCAATAATCTTGGACGCGACGTTAAACCGAATTTTTCACCTCACCACTTCTATTTTTATCCATTGACATTCCAAGCTACAAACTGTCGTTGTTTACAGTTGTCAGTTGCTGTCAACACATGATGGGCCGGGCCGTCTCCCTAGCAATCTGAAGCTCTATCATCAAGCGCACTGACTGCACGTGCAAGTCCTGGTTTCTGTCCCGACTTGAGAGTTGTGACGCAATCTGAGTCAAGGTCGTATGTGTAAATATTATCCTCGATATAAAGCTTATCGAATTTCAGATATGCTTTTTGATCATTTTCACGAGCTTGAATCATTACAGCAGAGACCATATAATAGACTATTATATGGTCTCTGGTTACAGGTAGTAATTTCTTTCTCTTCTGCCTTACCCTCAGGGAAAGATCTTCTGTGATAAACATACCAGTGTTTTTCAAAGCCTTTGCAGCCTTCAAAATAAACACTTTGTCCTTTTCGTCCGCTAATTTCACTATGATACCTTTCCCCTTCATGATTCGATGAGCTCTCTGGATTTTCACACTATCTGACATATGTAAATCCTTTCTGATAATCTCCTGCACAACCCGTTCACTATCTCCCTGTTTCGGCATGCCATGAAAAATCAAATTGTCCCTTCTACTCATATTATCCCCCGCCCCAACGAAGTTGGCGGGGGATATAGAAATGGGTTCCGTACGTGTGTGCGTGCGTGTGTGCGTGCCGAAATTGTTTCCGGAGCATAACTCAGAAACCGTTAAATATTTGCATGTCTATCAGACTCATGGTGAACTGGTGCCTTTTGCTACTTAGGAATTTTATAAAATTTTATTTTTTACGTTTCCATGGCAACAAGTTGGACTTACTGTAGGTTCTATAAGGGTGCCGTTCGTTTCCGGAGCGTAACTCAAAAACCGTTAAATACTTTCTTACAAAACTTTGCATGTTTACCACACACATACTGAACTGGTGCCTTTTGCTATTTAGGAGTTTTATAATTTTTTATTGTTTACGTTTCCATGGCAACAAGTTGGACTTAGGTTCTATAAGGGTGCTGTTCGTTTCCGGAGCGTAACTCAAAAACCGTTAAATAATATCTTACAAAACTTTGCATGTTTACCACACACATACTGAACTGGTGCCTTTTGCTATTTAGGAGTTTTATAAATTTTTAATTTTTACGTTTCCAGGGCAACAAGTTGGACTTAGGTTCTATAAGGGTGCTGTTCGTTTCCGGAGCGTAACTCAAAAACCGTTAAATAATATCTTACAAAACTTTGCATGTTTACCAAACACATACTGAACTGGTGCCTTTTGCTATTTAGGAGTTTTATAAGTTTTTATGTTTTACGTTTCCATGACAACAAGTTGGACTTAGGTTCTATAAGGGTGCTGTTCGTTTCCGGAGCATAACTCAAAAACCATTAAATACTTTCTTACAAAACTTTGCATGTCTACTAGGCACATACTGAACTGGTGCCTTTTGCTATTTAGAAATTTTATAAATGTTTATTTTAGAATTTCAATTGCAGCTATTTTGACATGGCCTAAGAGAAATGTTGGGTCAGTAACCTGGTTTGGTTTAACGTGTTAAAATGGCGGGGGATATAGATGACTTCGTCGACTATACGCTTGTTCTCTAAATACTCCACTCTGTCATCCATGTTGTCAACTAACTTGTTCAACCGTAAATTTTCCTCTTTCACATTTCTGCTTTATTTCACTCAACTGAATACTTACAGACCGAAGCGTACTTTCAACAGATTGTAGTTTGTCGTTCATGGAGTTGTTGGACTTTTGCAGTTTGTCTAATTTCGCTGGCACATTTTTCAATTCTGACATTACTGTTCGCAAGCTCAAGTCTGAAACTTTGGATGGGTAGCTGACGATGTATCCCCTTTAGCTGCAGCTGATGATCTTGTAGCTGGGCCATCATGGT